ACAGGGGCTGGAGGGGCAGGGGTGGGGTGGCCGAGCGCAGGGGCCTGGGCGCCCCTCCCCACTCTTCCTCCCCTGGTCCCGCCAGGCTTGAGGTCTTCGGGGCTGTCAGCCTTCCGGCCACCCCTGGACGCACTGACTCCTAGCCCCTAGGGAGACTCATCCTCGAGTAGAGAGCGCCCCCAGACCTGCTGTCAGCGTTCCTGCGCTGCCCGCCTCTTGCGGGGCATCCCTCCTGCTTAGCTGGACCCTGAGGGTGACCGAGGGCCGACAGCCAGGACGTGTCTTTGTGCTTGACGTCCATATGGCAGAATCCCTCTGTTAGCCTAAGAAAAACAGGGTCGACTGTGTGAGCTGCCAGAGATAAAGGTCTAACCCCCTAATTGCTCACCAGGACCGGTCCCCCAAAAGCACTGCTCCTGCCCACACCACCTTCAACCTGTGACAGCTACCTTCTGTTTGATAGTGTTGTCCACCAGAATCCAAAACCTTTGTTTGTATTTATAAGCATTTAAGCCCCGATTGTCTGGGGTGGAAATCTTAGGCCCAGCACAGCTGCTAACCTCAGAGTTAGAGTCCCCTTCCCAGAGTCTAAAATACTCATTTTAGACATGAGTCTCAAGGCCAGTGTGGCAGATGTGTGACAGGGACTCCTGGCAGTTCTCACCACGTATCCAGCTGCCACGGCTTTAGCTTCTTAATTTCTCTGGTTCCTGAAGGGCGGTTCCAGGGGTACGAGTGCCCTAATTGCCTGCAGGTAATAGGAAGTTACTTACTAATCATTAGAGACTTTGCCTTCCTGTGCTGATGGCGACATTGCAGGAAGGGGCCTTGGGGGTTGTCCTCTCTGGCCTCTCTGTCCAACGTTGCCCAAGAGCACCAAGCTGTCAGTCCAGTCTGTGCGTTCAGAGGGGTTATCGCGGTGCAAAGATAAAGTTTTTATGGAGGGAAGTATCGAAGGAGGAGGGAAGGGGAGCCGTGGGCTGTTCACTGCTGCTCCCTAGTGTCTTGCCTTCTCCTGCAGATGCCCCGTGGTGTGGCCACTGCAAGGCTCTGGCTCCAGAGTATGCCAAAGCAGCTGGGAAACTGAAGGCAGAAGGTTCTGAGATCAGACTGGCAAAGGTCGATGCCACGGAAGAGTCTGAGTTGGCCCAGCAGTATGGCGTCCGAGGCTACCCGACCATCAAGTTCTTCAAGAACGGAGACACGGCTTCCCCCAAAGAATACACAGGTGTGAGCACTGCACTGCCTCTAATTGCCCATGTGGGCGGGTGAGGGGTTCGCCTGCAGCCCTTCTTAGTTCACAGAGGTGGGGGGGCTCATTTCCAGAGGCGTGGAGGAGAGCCTGTCCTTGGACTGAGCCCTGGGTCTAGTCCAGTCTGCAAAGGCACTGGGAGGAAAGTGCTCCCTTCCTGTGCCCCTCGAGTGCAGAGGGACATGGGGGTGGGTGCAGAGAGCTGGCCGGGGCTCAACTGAAGATGGACGGGGAGGACGGGGAGGCTGAGCCTCTGCTGACTCTCAGGTGTTCTGGCCACTGAGCGGAGAGCAGCGGGTGCCAGGCCGGGTCGGGTTCAAGTCCAGCTCCGTCTGCAGCACAAGCCCTTGGCCGCTGCTTTGCTTGGGGCCTCTGAGGCAGCTTTCCTGGAGGTTGGGCCCCTGGGTAGCCTGGTCGGTACCAGTGACAAAAGAAGAATCTTTGTCTAGAAAACCAGTTCCGTGGCTTCTCCGTCCCAGTTCCCTGAGCAGCCCGTCCTGCTAATTCTGCCGTCAGCCGCTCTGGTCTCCTCCCGAGGCTAATGCTGCTCCTGCTTTTACTTGTGTCCACTCGGGCGTGGAAGGGCCTTGTGCATAGTTCCCACCATCCTATCAGTGACACTGAGGTCCTGGAGGTGAGGTAGCACTTCCTGACTCCAGCTGTAACTAAGGCAGCTTTTGCTTAATTTCTTTTTAAGTGTGAGATTCGGCAGCTCTTTCCAGGTCGGACCAGGTGGTCCAACCCCGTGAGAGGAGAAGGGTAAGGAGCCTCAGTCTCAGGAGGAGCAGGCTTCTCCCTTTACGTCACACCTGCTTGGGTGGTGCACACGGGCCATATCTCCTCCTCCTGGTCAGGAGGCGCGA